AAGTAGATGGACAGACTTGTCTTCTCAGGTGTTTCCGGGTGGGTTCAAGTCAGCAACCTTTTGCCCAATAGTCAAGCACTTAACCTTTTGTGCCACCAAGGGACTCCCTGGGTCAAACTAACAGTCATTAAATCAGAGTTAAATGATTGTCTGCCTCATTTATTTCTAGAAAGAGACAGGGAATACATGGGTAAGTGGGGCTAAATATTCTATTTATATTATTTGTCAGATAATGTATATAATAAAATCATAAAAAGAAATACTTTATGTGACGATATAAAATTGTAGGCTTGGCTTCACATTCAACCACTAGCTTCTTCCATTCAGAAGTGACTAAAATCTGAGCACAATGACAAGATTTAGTTCCCAAATAAGCAATTGATTCTTGTTTCCTAAACAATATTACGTGATTTCTGTCTTTGTGACTTTTTTACTTTCTTAAGTCCTAAGAATTATTTCTGACCCTGGATAACGAAAAATATTAATGGAATTTTATTCAATGTTGTAAAATAGCTAATTTGCTGATTTAAAGATGATGAGATTTGCTTTTCCTTGAAAATGGCCCTTGATTTTATTTTGACTTTAAAGATTTTCTATTAAAAACATTATTATACCTTGGTTGAAGGAACTTTGGTGGCCTAGTGGTAAGAAGCTGCATTGCAAACTCTCATTGCACACAGCAGATCGAGTCTTCTAGTTCTCCACAAGAGGATGAACAATCTTCTCTTGTGTGATTAATTGTCTCTGAAAACCTACCAAAGTGTCAGTTATGAGTCAGTTTCCACTCAACAAAAACAACAATAATACCTGACTGTGGACTCTGCAGTAGTATAAATAGCAATTAATGTAGGAAAATTTTATTGACTAACCATTAAATCTCACTGCTTGTCAGAACATGAATTTGCAACTTCCTTTTAAAAAGTCATTTTGTCTAAACAGAATCTCTTGCCTGCTTTGGATGATAGCACAAATTCAGAATCATTAACTAAATTAATTGTTTCATGTGATTAGTCTTTAGAATGTTATAAACGGTAATGGAATTACTGGATTGAAAACAATTAACTGAATGTACTTCTAATATATTCTGGCCAAATGTTATACCTAGCATTCCTAATGACTGCTTAAAAACTACCAAAAGAAAACAGGATGAACCTTAGTGTCATCAAAAGAAATAACCCAGAACATTTTAAAAATGCTTCAGAGGCTGAAAAATCACTTGTACTATTGTCTTTTAAATATCATTCAAACATCCTATATTTTAAAAGGAGATATTGAGAGTTCGGAATAGTTTTCCAAAGTTTTAAAGCAAAGACATTAAGAAGACTGGATAGAATATATATTTCACCTATTGCTCAGGTGTTAGGACAAAGGTTGACATTTCCGGTTACTATAGCACGACCAAGGTGCTCTGATAGCACAATGGTTACATACTCTGCTACTAAGCAAAAGTTCATTAGATGGAACCACCAGCTGCTCCAAAGAAGAAAGAAGTGGCAGTCTGCTTCTATAAAGATAAGAGCTTGGCAACTATATGGGGCAGTTCTACTTTGTTCTACAGAGTGACTGTGTGTCACACACCTCCAGTAAGATCACAAAGATACTCAAATGACTGGGGATAGCACGCAAACTCTATGAGAAAGTGGGGACAAAGTAGAAATGTAGTGAGTTTGTAATTAAATAATGTTTCAAAGGGGTCAGGCATCACTTAGCCTAATGAATTATATAACAATATTATTCTAGAAAAGCAGATATTGAATTTCCCCAACACACACTTCAGATGGATGCCGTTTTAGGATAAATAATTAGATATTAAGTACTGGTAACTAATTAAAATTTTAAGCTCAGAGGCGAAGGGGAACCCACTTGTGTATTGACAGTAAAGAACCTCTAGATTAGAGTTTCATGTCTTCTGCAAGTGTAAAGAAAACATAACTCAAGCTCATTGTCATTGAGTCAGACTGACTGACAGCTGATTTTCAGTTGAGCTTCTTAGATTGTAAAGCACACAGGAGATTATGACTGTTTCTCCCTTGCCTCTACTGGTGGATTTGAACCACCAGAGGTGAGCTTTGAGGTTAGCAATGAAACTCACTAGTCTACATTTTTCCCAGTGCCCCAAAGAAACAAGTTGTATCAAGTCACTTCTGACTCATGGTGACCCATGTGTGCAGAGTCAAAATGCATTCCATAACATGCCCAAATGGTTGCTTTCCAGGAGGAGATCACCAGGGTTTTGTGCCAAAGTGCCTCTGCGTGTTTTCAACCTCTTGATTAATAGTCACGTGCTTCACTATTTGTGCTTTCCACAAATGAGGCTCTGCAGATATATAAATGCTGTTACAATTGAAAGGAGCTCTGGTGGCCTAGTGGTGGAAGCTGTGCTGCCAACCCGAAGGTATAGGATTCAAATCTACTTACTCCACAGGAGAAAGATGGTCAATCTCCCTCCCTGGTGAAATTTATTACTTAAAAATAACCTCCTGGAGGGTCAGCTGTGAGTTGGTTCCAATTCAATAGGACATAATAGCATTAAAATTGAAGGACGCTGACAGGCTATCTTTTATCAATATTTATGATAAATAAAAGAAATGTTTTAAAAAAGAAAATAGTCTATTGTATTAATCAACAGTTAGTTGGTACCCATTAGACGGCAGTGATATCTTCACTATTGTGACAGTTTAAAAAGAAACATGCTTTTTAAAAGATGAGTTGATATAGGCATAGAGCAATGGTAATTAATGATGTAAAATGTAATGTATATGGATGATAGTATATGTATAAAGTACATGTATAAAACATGATGTATATAAATGCTTACATGTAAACAAATAAAAAAACAAAAATAAGAAAAAGACAGACATTGACTGATTTTCTTTGGATTACAGAGGCTAGTTGAGTGCTGTCTGTAGTTAGTTGTGTGTCTAACCCAAAAGGTGACCATCTCTGGCAGTTCTACTCTACCAGTGATCATGTGATGTGGGAGAAAAATGTTACCTCTTCTAATCTTGGAAAACTGTTAAAAGTCGCTTGAGTTGGAACTGACTCAAGGACAGTGAGTTTGAGTTGAGAAAGAAAGTGAATCCTGACAGTATTATAAATTGTTGAAGATTGTAAGTTGAGAAGGAAATATTAGGGAAGGATCAAGGTTGTACTTTAAGGGATGATTCTATAAAAGCTGAAGAGAAAATAAGATGTCATTTGAAGATTTCAAGCATTCTATTTTGTTACTATATATACACACACAGATAATTTAAACATAATATTTATATACATATATGGTGTTGTTGTTGTTTGGTGCCATCAAGTTGTAGACAACTCATAACGGCCCTGTGAACGAAAGGCCTGAGCACTGTTCATAGAGTTTCCAGAGGCAAGCCATTTGAGAAGTGGATGCCACTCCTGCTTCCCGGCTTGTTTAAATCGGGAAGCTCCAGCAAGCATATAAATATATGTTTATAAATAAAAAGCAAGAGATAATTTAGAGGAGAGAAAATGTTAATATTTTCTTATGCTAGAGAAGTCTCAGAGAAATCTCACCATATTATGTATGACAAAATTGAAATGAACATTTTGTATGGATGTAGGATGCAAATGAAGGGGGGGGAAAGAGGTCATGGAAAATACACAGACGCTATGAAGCAATTTGCAGTTCCCTGAGGGGTAAGAAGAGAAGTTTACAGAATCATGGAGTACGATGTGTCATTTAACTACTCCAGACAGCACACAGCATCTGTTCAGTAGATAAAGCAAAGGGCAAAGGATGAAGAAGCATTTCTATTTCTAGCATAGCGTTCTCTGGAACCCAGATGATCAGAATATCACCTTTGACATGCAGGTCATCACTCTATATGTTAAAAACAGAGAATGCACAAGCCAGAGTAATTTTGTGCATTATTTTTAATATCTACAAGTCATTTGCAGATTTTAAAACCAGAACTACTGGAGAAACATAAACATTAACAATTCTTCTTCTCAATCCATAATTTACAGAATTAATAAAGAATGACAATGACCAGCCACCAATCAGATCCTTATTGGAATTTTCTTGTTTATTTTCATTTATACTCATCTTTGAAACTATCATGTTTATTTCTAAGTGGTGCTCTTTTTATCCACTTGTGCTTTGCATTTAATTTAAATGAAAAAGCAGCTTCAGGCAGATTTAGTATTTAAATTACAGTCTCTATATTCTGAAAATGTGGCATCTATACTTGTAAGACTTCAGTTATGTAAAAATATGAATAAATTACATGCAAATATCCTAGAGCCAAGCTAGCAAGCATGCATTATATAAAATCCATGGTCTGTGTTTTCATCCTTTGCAAGTTGCCCTATGCTAACTTCAATGGAGATGCTAAGTTTATTTTTGACTCACATTTTTATCATTGTTTAGGAAAAATAATACGAGAATGAGAGATGCTAACATAAAGAAAATAGATAAAAAAACGCTTACCTCATTCTTAAAGCATGATGCACAATATGGAAAAGAATTCTTTTCAGCTAGTCTAATTGAACATGAATGATCGAATCAAATTCCCAAATAAAAGCGCAACTTAGAGAAGAAATAATTCTCATGTATTTCCTACTGCCTGATTTTCAAGAAATTAGATGAATTCATGCAGGGTAGTATAAACTATCATCTTCTTGAGAAATGACCTCAGAAACCACAATACTCTCATAGTTCTTATCAACACAATTACACAGAACTACAAATGTATTTTGCATTTTTCATGCGCATAGGTCTCTGACTATCACCTGAACGTATCATGTATATTTCTGAATGGTAGAAAGTGATAGAAAATCAGGAATCCTAGAATATGAAAGAGAAGAAAGGGAGAATTATCTGAAAAGCAGCTTTGTGTTTCACATCTTGAGACCAACACAGGATATGTACACTTTATGGAGCTCATTAGCAGTAACACAGGGGGGAGAAATGGGTGATTAAAACAAGTCTTCTTTTCACACTCTTTCTCACAAATAAATGTTTGCAGATACTGTACCTTCCGTAGGGGTTTGAGCTTGGTCTCCATTATGAAGTCATACTTGCAGAGCTCGCAGCAACGTGTGTCTGAGCTCTTGATCCACTGGTGGAGGCAGGACTGGTGGACAAAGCGCAGGGTGCCTGTGCAGCGGCAGGGCGTGATGAGAGGGCTCTCCTCATCCCCTTCACAGTGACAGATCCTGGAGGGGAGGACACAAGAACCGTATGAGGCCTCCTACATTGCTTTCCAACATCAATACTGTACTAGAAGCTACAACCTGTGATTCAGAACATTTCACCCCAACTTTGAGTGTACAACTAAATATGATTAGTATCAATTTCCTTTCACTTGATTGCTTAGTGTTACTCTCTTCTGGCATATTCTAAGATATTAGACACTCAAAAATCATAGACACACAATCATTTTATTCCTACGCCAAAGCTGATTTTAACAGTTTAAATTTTAAGACAGCTATTGAACTATATAGTGGCTATGGATATAAGCTTTTATATGTAAAATTGTGATTTATAAATATTCAGAGAAATGTAGTAATTGGATAATATCGTTATTTAATTTAATGATGGTTTTATAGGATCATGGTATAAGAATATGGAAATATTTGAAAAATTTTAAGAAAAATATACTCAACCTGATAATATTGCAAAGTTGTTGCTGTGAAGACAAACATATACAGAGAGTAAAGCCTAAACAGCCAATAATCATCATGGTTTAAAAGTCTCAAAAATTACTGATAACTTGTCAGCAGTTGCCAGTAGTAGGTTGCCTATATTGAAATCTTTTTCTAAACCATTAGACAACTCAACACACATGGGCTTGGCGACAGAAAGCCGAGAGAGCAAATGACTGAATTTTATGCTTTCAATACTATTCATCACAAATAACTTTTTAAAGAAACACACATCGTGGCTATACACATGGACCTCACCTGATGGACTTCGCAGAAATTAAATTGACTACATTTATGAATAGATAGAATCATTGGAAGAACTCAGTATCAGAAGTCAAAACCAGGTCAGGTGATGACTGTAGAACAGATCATCAATTGTTGTTGCTGTTGTTGTGTGCCGTCGAGTTGCCTGCGACTTATATCGACTCTATGTACAACAGCCCTAAACTCTGCTTTGTCCTGTGCCAATCGCACTGTCTCTGACACTCCTATCCTGATTACCCCAGTCACTAAATCAATCCACCTCATAGAGGGCCTTCCCCTCCTGCGCTGTCCCTCCACCCTCCCAAGCATGATGTCCTTCTCCAAGGACCGGTCTCTCCTCACAACATGGCCAAAGTATGTTAGATGGAGCCTCAGAATCCTTGCCTCCAAGGAGCCACCCGGTTTAACCCTTTCCAGGACAAATCTGTTTGTTTTCCTAGCAGTCGATGGTATTCTCAATACTCTTCTCCAGCACCACAGCTCAAAGGCATCAATTCTCCTTCTATCCTCCTTGGTCATTGTCCAACTCTACTCATGCATAAGTTCAGTTGAAGCTGAAGAAAATGAAAGAAAGTCCACGAGAACTCAAATATGACTTTAAATCTATCCCACTTGAATTTAAAAACCATTTCAAGAGTAGGTTTGAGGCATTGAACACTAATGTTCGAAAATCTGATAAGCTGGGGGATAACATGAAGGATATCATCCATGAAAAGAGAAAAAGGTCACAACAAAGACAGAGGATAAAGGTAAGGCCAAAATAGACATCAGAAGAGACTCTGAAAATTGCATTTGTATGTTGACAGACCAAAACAAATAGAAGAGATATTGAGGTTAAAGGCATTCACAAAATATTTCAAAGGGAAACTTGAGAAGAAAAGTCAAGTATTGTAACAAAATATATAAAAAGCTGAAGTTGGAGAAGAAAAAGGGAAGAACTCAACATTTCTCAAGCTGAAAGAACTGAACAAGAAATATAAGATCAGAGTGACAAAAGCACCTTCTAGCAACATGCCCAAAGTATGTGGGGTGAAGCCTCATCATTTTTGGCTCCAAAGAGCACTCCAGCTTCATCTTCTCCAAGACATGTTTGTTCTTTTGGCTGTCAATGGGATGTTCAGTACTCTTTTCCAATACCACAGCTCAAAGTTATCAGTTCTTCTTCTGTCCTCCTTATCCCTTGTACAGCTCTCAGATGCATATCAAGCACATGATCAGAAAGACTATGGGCTGTATCAGATAGACCTTAGTCCTAAAGCTGACCTCATTACTCCTCAATAATATGGAGAGGTCTCTAATTGCAGATTTTCCAAGTGTAATGTATCTCCTTATTTCTGGACTGCTGATAATAAGGGTGTTAATTATGGATCCAAGCAAGATGAAGCTGTTGACAATCTCTTCTCCATCCATCATGATGTTGCCTTTAATCCAGTGGTAAGAATCTTTGTTTTCTTGACATTGAGATGCAGTCCATTTTGAAGGCTGCATTCTTCAATCTTTTGTAACAAGTGGATCAAGTCCTCCTCACTTTCAGTGAGCAAGGTTTTGTCATCTACTTAACATATGTTATTAATGTGTCTCCAATCCTGACGCCACATTCTACTTCATAGAATAATTTGCTCAGCATGCAGGTTAAATAGGCATGGAGAAAGAATACAACCCTGGCTCACTCTCTTCTCAATTGTAAACAATAGTCTTCTACTGCTCTGTTTGCATAACAGCCTCCTGGTCTGGGTATAGGTTTCTCATGAGCATAATTAAGTGCTCTTGGAATCCCATTCTTCTCAGTATCAACCACAACTTGTTATGATCCACACAGTCAAACACCTTTACATAGTCAATAAAACAAAACTATTATTCCTTATTTTCATCCAGGATTCACCTGACACCAAGCAATGATATCCCTGGTGCCATGACCTCTTCTAAATCCTTCTTGAACTTTTGGCAGTTCCCTATCAATGTACGGTTCTAGCTGTTTTTTTCATGATCTTCAGCAATATTTTGCTTGCATGTGATACTAATGATATTGTTTTATACTTTCTATTTCTGATAGCTCACCGTTCTTGGTAATGGAACAAATATGGACTTCTTATCCGTTGGCCAGACGATTGTCCTCCAAATTTCCTGACATAGACTGGTGAGTGCATCCAAGATTGCACCTATTAATTGAAACAAGTCAATTGGTATCCCATTGATTCCTGGGGCCTTATTTTATTTTTTTTTTCGCTAATGCCTTCAATGAAGCATCCACTTCTTCCTTCATTATCATTAGCTCCTGTTCATACAGTAATTCCCAAAATTTTTCAATGGTAATAAGTTCCTTCTGATAAAGTGATTCTATGTATTCCTACCATCTTCTTATGATGTTTTCTGGGTCATTTCATATATTGCTATAGCATATTTAAATATTGTGAATTGAGGTTTAAATTAGTTTTTCAGTTCTGTATGCTTGAGAAATGCAGAGCAAATTCTTCCCCCTTTTCCCTCCAATTCCGACTCTGTACATTCCATTATAATACTTTGCTTTGTCTTTCTGATATGCCCTTTGAAATCTTCTAATCAGCTGTTTTTTTGAGAGTTTCCTTTTGTTTTGGCTTCTAGATGCTCCAGCACAAATTTTAGAATCTCTTCTTGGATGGAAAATGTCAAGAATGTTGCAGTTGCTCCCTTTCCCACCCCTCCCCAAAATGATCACTTCCTAAGAAACCTGATAACATCTAAGGCAGCTAGATCAAAGACCAGACCAGATGATACTGATAAAGCTATGGTCTCAATCACAAAAACTCAAATCCAACCTAACACCCAAATTCCAAGAAATACTATCTTCTTTAGTTCTCCCCAGGATCCCCATAAGAAGGAACTACCCCCAGTTGTTCATGTGCCACTTTGATTTTATCCGCTCCTGGTCACTTGGTGTCCCTCTAAAATCATGCAATAAAGGCCTGTTAGCTTTTTTGTTTGTTTTCTCTTTTAAAAAAAATATTGTTAATTTTAATGAAAATTTACAGAGATTTTAGATTTCCATTCATTCATTGTTGCACTTTTCTCCTTGACCATCCCTCTCCTCCAGTTTGCTCTTCTCTTTGAAAGTAAAAGAAAAATTCTTTCATTGTTATACAATCCCTCCCCCCAAGTCCACTCCACTATGCAGCCTTCATTTGGACTCCTGTCATGACAATAATACCTGATCATATATACCTTTTAAACAGTTCTGTCTCTCTCATCTGTTTCAATGCAGTATCTTTCTAAGTCTCTACCCTAGTAAGAATAACAGAATTTAACAGACCAACAAGCAAGCAATGCTGGCGAGGTTGTGGAGAAACTGGAACCCTTATTCACTGTTGGTGGGAATGTGGGGGTGTAAAATGGTGCAGCCACTATGGAAGGCAATATGGTGCTTTCTCAAAAAATTGCAAATAGAAATACCATTTGACCCAGCAATTCCACTACTTGGAATATATTCCAAAGAAAACGTAATGGCCACTCAGGCAGATATATGCACACCCATGTCTATTGTGGCTTTGTTCACAATAGCAAAGATTTGGAAACAACTTAAGTACCCATCAACAAATAAGTGGATAGAGAAGCTGTGGTGTATTCACACAATGGAATACTACACTGCACTGAAAAACAAGGAACTTATGAAATATTATGCAAAATGGATGACCCTGGAGGACATTATGCTGCGTGAAATATCTCAGTCACAAAAGTACAAATACTGCATAGTACCACTGTAATTTCTTAAGACCAGTTACTTTCTTTCTATCTCACCCTCAACTCTTTTTTTATCTTATAATTTTGACATCCATCTTCATTTTTTTTCTTTCTCCTCTGTTTTTGTAATGACCTTTGGCTTTCTTATGGATGATATTCATAATACCATCCCACAACTCATCTGCTCTACAATCATTGGTGTTTAATGCCTCAAACTTATTCCAACAATGATCCTGAAATACAGATGGAATTAATCCAAGATAATATCATGGTTGCTGTAGATTTATTTTAATTTTCTTTGGGCCTCAACTTGAACTTGCATATGAGTAATATGTGGTCTGACTCTTGGACAGGATGTTAATTGTGTTTAGGGAAAACATTGTTATAAGTGGTACAGCACTCGTCTGTCAGTTTGCTTCAATCAGATGACTTGGAGTTGCTGTTATACTGAAAACTACGGCACTGCTGCATCAAATGTCATAAGGGTTACCCATGTTAGACAGGTTTTGGTAGAGCTCACAGATTAATACAGA